CACTCTTTAGTTTTTCTATAAAACCTCGCAGCTATATTTTTCAAAAAGCTCCACAGAACATCTTTGCTCTATTTTTTATTCACTGTATCAAAAAACAAATCACTCTCTAAAATAACCTGGTGAACTGTAGCCAAATGTAGAAAAAGACATGTATGACAGACTTGTAGTATATCTTGTACTAAAAAATAAATCACACCTGCCTTGCAATGAAAATTCTCATGTCAACTGCCAGCTAAATAAGATAATAAAGGTTACTGAGCACTACACATTCCATTTTTTCAAAGAAAGGTATGTCTCAGGCTACCATTTCATATTCACACAGATATTCCAAAATTGATATATTAATCCAAATGTTATATACCGGTAATCAACTAGCACTTGTGTCACACAGGAAGAGTATAAGCTCATAACGTCTTCACAGACTGCACGGATCAAGAGTAGCAGGGTCTGTCCAGTAAAGACTCTGAGAGCAGATTTTCTCTCAGGTTAACAGTGCACGTATATGGTTGCACACAAGAGAATTATTGCACGACTCTATCATTGATGAAAAATGACTGCTGCAAGTTTTTACCCAAATTTTTGGTCAGGTCATAACTAGGGTAGAGAAAATCACAGATTTTGCACATAAATAGGGTACTGTAAGGGTTTTGGCAAGTGGGCCGCACACTCCCACCCACCTGCACACCCCAGGCCATTACCCTGTCAAAGTCACAGGAAAACAATGGCTTTTAAATCACACTGTTATGTAAAATAATGATCACTCATAAGAATTGGGCAATCATTGAATTCTACATGAAAGTCATATAATAACTCTACAAGCTGGGGTTCTGGCCGAGGGCCACCAGAAAAGCCACACTCCTCAAGAGTCTTATGTCGATCCAGCTGTACTCTTTTCCCTTCTTTAGTGGTGCAGTATATGATAACTTTCCTTGTCGTTCCTCCAAACCTCTCATGGATTATCGATTCTATGGAATAAACTGGTATGTGGGCATGAACAAAGATCTGGAAATGTCCTGGATAAGACTTCAAGTGTGGCAGGTTGGCAAATGTTACAAGTTTGAGCTCCATACTTATAAACCTGTCAAACAAGAAAATCAGATTAATACCACAATATTATGCTATTAATTTATAAAAGCAATTGACTGATTTAATGTAGCAATTAGTGTTTGTATATGTTTACATCCAGAATGTTTGCAAAGTCTACAAAGTGTAACACAACCTTGACTGAATCAATGCATACAGAAGAATTATTTTGTATAAAACTTCATCCAAAACTTTATTAATTACGATAATCTCGCAATGAAAGGTCTGAGGTACCAAATAAATACTGGAGTTCAAATAATAAACACTGGACCAACAGGGATGTCTGAGCATGTAATAAACTTACAGTCCCTACATTTACACTGTATATGATACACTGAATATTTATAATAAAGAAGATTACTAGGCACTTATGTATCACGTAAGACAAGGTCAGCTTACCTCGGATACTTTTCTTTAGGAGGTTGCCATAATCCCAGTTTACAACAAGGACATTGTTCCAGCTCTTCTCTCTCAAACTTCAAAACTGGTAGCCCATCATCTTGGACACACTCTTCCTTCTTGTAATATTTCAAGCCTTTGGAAAACTCAAGATAGTCCAGCAGACCATTAGCATCTCTATCTAGCTTCTTCGCAAGGACATACAACTCAAGGTTGTTAGCAGGTGCATTTAAGTCTCGCATTCCTGCGTAGAACTCCTCATATGACAAGCTACCATCACCATCAACATCAAAACGACGAAAGAGATCAATAGCCCGGGCATAGTTATCAAGCATCCATTTGTCCATACGAGCTACAAATGCAGCATGAAGATCATCTGCAGCCTCAAAGGCTGATGCTGCTTTCTCGAGCTTTTCCTGTGAAATGCAAAAATATTTAATAATCATAACGAACATAATATTGGGCTTATTTATTTGTTCCCACTGTAATTTAAATCACCTACTCTTGGGTGAAGGCACAGGGACCTCATTATTAGTGTGATCAACTTCATAGGAAAAATGACATAGACCTGTCACAGTTTCCAGTCATTTCTGAACATTCTGAAGATTGCCAATGTTTTTTAAAGATTTTCATGATATGTCAAACACAGACGACAATCACATGTACAAAGATTACGATTGATTGATCACATGATTAGCTGTGCTCACCAAGACATGAACAATACTATGTCAACAAAACAATTTCCGTGTTTTTTAACGCCATAATTTGGCGGACAAAGAGATTTTGACACCCCCCTCCCTCAACCTCCATCAGCATTGCAAGAGATTCTTGTACCTTCCTTTTCTTCTTGTTAGACACCCCTCTAATATTATGATACCATCAATAATCTTTCAAGTACTTAAATCATGTGTAAAACTCGATCTTCAGAGAGCCAACCATTCTGTCACTGACATTTAGGTGACAACAAGTTCTTATAACTAACTAATCGTAAGTTTGTATCTGAATCCTCAAATACATATTACCAGTTTCTTCGTATATTAAAAAGCACAACTCCGGACAACAGCTTTCAGTTTCTTTTATAAATCATTCGATGGGATTACGAATTATCAGTTTAGACTTAGATGAAAGGTATTTAAAACAAAAGCTTAGTAAGTTACATGCACATGTACCTTAGGTTTACTTAGGTAACTACGTATTCTCTTTTATAACATAGTATAACAATAAGCTAACGAATTGAGAACGACTGAATGACTGTATTTTACTGAAAGACTGCTTTTTTACCTTGGCTAACTCATCCTTTGACTTCTTAACTTTCTTTGCCCCTTTCTTTTTACCTCCAGATCTAGATCACACGAAACAGAAAGATACAAAATTAGAATAGATTACTATGCAGCTATGAACCAACTGTGATTGCGCTCAGATAAAGATCGACTTTGGACGATTTATACTCGATCGTTTCAATTATTAGAGTCAAAAGTCAAAATTGTATTTACATACTTGGATTTTCCCCCTTTCTTTTTCACTGGCATCTTTAGAACAAGTCCAATTTCACCAATTACACTTGGAAGTAATAACACCAGCAATTATCAGAGGTGATGGCATTCGGGAAGTCAAAAATTACCAAGGCAACAACACGGACGAAAGGATCTGGGAACAAGCCATTTTCTGATGTGCTAATGATTGCGCATGACTCAGTTACTTCAATGCCGCTGGTCATGTTCAAGTCTGATTTTTTGGCGGGGGGGTGGGGGACGGCGGGGAGAGAAAGGGGAAAATTCTATGATTTGGGCAATGGTACACGAGAAAGTGAGACCTTTTAAACATTTTCTTTTTGGGAATTTTAAAAAAAGCATTTATTTTGATCTTTGGACGCAAAGTTCACCAACCAAAAGACACGTGGGCTCTGGGAACGAGATTGTCAAACTTAGCTGTAAGGATCGGGGGCGCGGGGAGAGGCTGGGGGGGCCTGCAGTCCCCCCCAAATTTAAGCAAATCAGTTTTCTGGGGCAACAGGAGAAATTTTGGGCAAAGGGTTTTTACTTGTAAAACGTTTTCCTTTGTTTCGAGAAATTACAATGTTACTTGAAAACAGAGAACAACAATACTGGTAATCAATATACAATAAGACTCAATACTCAAAAGTAGTACGAGTCGGTATTTTCTTGACACCCCTTATTTTTCGTGTCCCATATTGCCCCTAGGCTAAAGCTTTACTTTTGTAAGAATTTGGAATATTTTTTCATTCCCAATGCCCACTTTTAAGCATTGCAGAAATTTCACTGTGTCCTTACAGAAGTGTGCTTTAATGTCAATGCTACCGTGTCGAAATTCCATAAAACGCAAAACACGCAATTTCTTCCTCTTGTGCTCTTTACCAAATGCCATGAATTACAAAGAGATAGTGTCAGAGGGTTGAAAAGTAAAAGGGACTCTCAACAAGAATGGAGGATTGCTCCCAGCTCGGTACCTATGTCCACTATTACGGACATGTGCTCAACCCCGCCCTTCAGGATATACTATGACACAGATTGAACTATTCCATAACGCTCTGTGCACTATCCAGGCTCTGTATTCTTAAAGGCGAGTCCCAAACGACACGCCCTGTTTGGCGACACAGAAGTAGAAGGCGAGGGTCTGAAACTGACGCTGAAGTCACGCAGTGGTCATGCCGGTGGGAAAGCTGTGAAGGCATAGTAAAAGGTCTGCTCACGCTGTTTTCAGACAAAGATTCAAAACCTACTCTGAGAACAGAGCTTTTTTGACCGCCATTCGTTACTTGAAATTTATCTTTTGACTGTGTGTATTGAATATAGTCCTAAGCAACAAAAGTAGTCTGTGCCGATATCGATATCGACGTCACCTCCGCCTGTAGAGACGCCAACATGACCATTCAAATCCTACGCTGATATCGGAGTGTAGAAAGTTTCAGCAGCGTATGGCAGATAGTACCTGCAATGGGTCTGAAAATTAAGCAGTGGCTGACAAATTCTCCGTTTGAATTACGGAAACCATGCCATGGCACCCACACACAAGACATCGCGCCGCATTCAAGCCCTTGTGGGTGAACACACGCAAAGCCAAATGCAGCTGACACTGGAACCACACCACCACATTACAGTTACATTGTACTTTAGGTCAACTCTGTACTAAACAATGACAAGGATCGTATTATTGATATTTCCGGCTTCACAATGGAAGAGACAGTTATTTCTTTTAATGTTTTCTACTTGTAACGTGATCTACATGGTAGATTCATACACAAGAATATTCACAGTGTGGATTCAAATGTAAGATTACTTTCACTCCATATGCAGGTCTACTATGACCCTAGCGTGTGCTCAATTGTTTGATAAGAATTTGGGCAACTTGCGAAAAAATTTTTCCGAAAGTGACTTACCCCCCCCCGCTCCCTGGAAAAAATTTCCGGTACGCCTATGCTCGCAAATGCATAAAACGTAGCGAGGACAATTGCGCTGAGGTTGTTTCGATTTCCAGGCCTTACTGCGCACTCTCTAGGGTTTGTTTACGTTTCTTTATTAAAATGTAGCATTTCGTAACCACCTACGTCAAGTCAATTCACGACGGTCATGAATTAAACTGACGTGAAGGTCATGAATTATATATAGTACCAAATCCCAGTTCCCAGCCTAATTTTGGCTAAAAATCCTAGTTACCAAACCTGAAGTCCCATTCCCAGTTGTTGTTCTTGTTTGCTTCATTTTTGCCATTTATATCTATATTCACAACATAGTAATGTATATGAGAAGGAAGCCCAGGGAAGCCATGCAATAAGGCTTATGTAAAGGAGGTTTTGTTGTTTGTAAACTAATGTGCATAATGAATTAAAAGCACTGCATGGTCCACAAATCCCCCCTTCGCACCGAGAATCTTCAGTTTAACAATTCTGTATAATTATCGTTTGTAATTCTCTCGGGCTGCAGTTCAAGTTCAACATAAGTTTGCAGTTTTCTGTGTCAAACAATAGAGTCGGAGTAAAGACATGAAAGAAGAAAAATCCCATTCACATTTTCGAATTTGTTTATCCCTTTCCCAGAGTTGAAATCCCAGTCCCAGTGGAGTAAATCACATTTTCCCAGTTCAAAAACAAGGTGAACCACATTTCCCATTATACCTCTTCATGGCCCTCTGCAATCGATAGGTGCGAAGCTCTACTACTTCGTTCTTTCTGATATTACTAGACTAGACAACTGTATGAATCAAAGAAAAGGTTGGTAAAGAATAAAATCGATTCGCATTGCATCAGAGTAAGGCAAAAAACATCAAGGTGGCATAATGCTAACCAGCCAGTTTAAGACATTTTAAAGCTAAAGATTAAGTCCACGCGCTTTAATTTCTTCATGCCAGTTGGAGCCAATTAGCAAGGGATTGCAGTTATCGCTAAGAACATAATTTAGCCACGCAAAAGCTACAAGTGCATCTGGGTTTTCTTTGGAGGTGAGGCTTGGAGGCGTAGCGGCTACATTTTGTATGGTGTTGTTGAAAGGAGTTACCAGTAAGCTACGGGAGGTGCTTCCTTCTTCTTAGTCCGTCGAGTGTGGAAAAAAAAAAACACATTCACAGGAGAGAAAAAATGGCCGGGCGATTTGTTGTTGTTGTTGTTGTTGTTGTTGTTGTTGTCGCGAATATCGCCACCAGTTTGCACTTGGCCATTTTTGTTTTTATCTTTGGCCGGTACTTGTCAAATTGTGCTTGGTTTATGAAGTTCACAAATTCTTGAGTCAGTTCTTTTACCCTCATTGTGAAGAATTCTGTTTTTATCGCTTGACGACTGATGTCAAGTTTACCAGGCTAAAATCCTTTCGTCAAATGTACCTGCAGGTAAACTGACCTTTCTACAGGATATTCCAGAGTCATTTTTGCTTCTCGACATGTCCTGACGGCTATTGAAACCATTTGCGTATTTTGAGAGAATTTTAAACCTCCCGGAAATTGTAATTACAAACAAAAGTTTGACGATTCAAACAAGTGAATTTCTATCAAAGGAATCATTACAGTTTCGACGAGTTTCTACATTTTACAATTTTTAGTTCAACACTATTAAGTTCTACACGTTTCATTGTTTATTAATAATAAACAAAATGCACCCTGACTCGTTTTTTTTCATATTTGGCAGTTCTTCTTAAAACTTAAAACTAAGTCTTCACCTTGCCATTGTGTATTTCCCGCGGAGCTGGGGTAGTTCTGCTCTGAAACTAGCCCCAGTTCAGTTTTTTTCTTATTTATCGGCTGCTATTTTAAATGTCATTCCAACTTATTACCATTCTGTCAGGATGAAATATCTCAGTCAACAAATTCAATTCAGCCAGAGTCTGGACCAGTTTCCCACATTCACAGAAGTTAAGAAGCCGTACCTCGCCACCTGTGAACTCGTACTGATGGTACTTTTACACCTCCAGCGAGAAACACTTCTAATTCTAAGACAAATCCTTAAACACAGTATAGTCTGCTGAAATTAACCTATTTAGTAAAGCCTTTATTAACAAAGATTCATTACAATAATCAAGTCTTGCAACATATTATTGGTACTAAAAACTGGTAGTGACCACAACATTTTGGTAAATGTGAAAAATAACATCAAAATTTGTGAAGTACTTGGAATATTGCACGGGATAATTCTCCTAGAAAGCCGTCAAGTTCAATTAATAGGCGCCGTTTGTAAGAGAGTAACCAGCGGCTTGACAAACGGCGTCAATAAAACAATTCAAATTGATCTTTTGAAGAGCGTTTTGACCCGTTTTCGTTCAATTCGACACCACAACTGACCAAATTTTGCTTGCTTAGTTTTTCCATTTAAGATATATGTCTCTATTTTTGTTCCCCGGGGTAAATTTCTAAATTTTAGGTGTGAACAATGAAGTTAAGAAGATCACTTCCTAGAATATAAAAAATAAGAGTTGGCGCAGAAGATTAAAATAAGGGATTAACTAAACCAAGATCACCAGAGCTAGAGTTCACTACAGTGAAGACATTTTACAGACTTTCTTCCCCTCTCACAGCTTTATTAAAACCCAAACAATTTTCAGAGTGTTGTGTAATTTATTGTAATCAGTCCCTAAACTGACCTGTTTAAGATATTTGCAGTTTTGACGAGAACACTTCTGTCGACATGCCATTCTTCACGGATGCATTCAGGCCATAAATTAAATCAATTTAGCTTATTAAGGACTAATAACAAGATATCCGTAATATTATGTACTAAAAAACTATAATTCCTTTATATGGAAATGTTAATTTAGAATGATACCTGTTTTTCAAGCAATTTACCATTATTTTAGAGGAACGTCTTTGATATTTCAAGGATTTTCAAGTTGGAGACAGACTCACCATTTTCAGTAATTTTTTTTTTCTGCACTAAAATCAGTTGACCATATCTTGCCACCTGAGCAATTTTATTACTGGGCTCCAGGCGCCATGTGCGCGACACAAACCTTAAGCAAAGGATAAAAATAACTTGAGAGGGTAGCATTGAAATTAAACAGAGATCAAAAGTAAGAGCACAGATGAAGACTATGAGGTCATTTTTTCCTGATCCTCATGTTTTAAAACTATTTACGTGATTCTGCCATTAAAAGTAGTCGGTAAGCCATATCACGCCAC